TGAAAATTAAATAGTTGCACTTAAGCCATGGTAAGTAATAGCATTATAACAAGTGGCACAATTAAAAGAGGGTTTTTTTCATCCTTTTTTGCTACATATAATTAATCATATGTAATATATTTTCACATGTAATTATACAATTATTGCATACAGTAATACAATAAATATTATTAAAGGGTGCAATATAGAAATACATATTTTAGAGACAAAAATCTCACTGTGTAACTTCAAAGTATACTAATCTAGCTAACTGGCTTTGTTTCTCACTGTCTGAATTTATAATTAAATGTATATTTTAAAAAGATTTAAAAATAGATTTTTAAAAAGCTATAATATATTTTATTTTGAAAAACATGTGGGCCATATACTTTAAACATAATTTGGTTAATAAGCTACTTTATGTTTCACAAATAGTACAATCAAAGCCTCCATTTTAAAATTTCGGGAAGTTATTACTAGAAAATGTTTAACTTCTTCCAAACCGATCAATTTTAGTTGCTTTTAACCATTTTTCCCTATGATTTTGTGGTTATTATGTTGTATGATTTGAGACCCCCGCACAACAATATACATATGAGATACTTAAGGCATGTTTGATGTTTGCTACCCTTTTCTGAAAGAGCGGATTATTTTCCATGAGGATAAAAAAGACATTACATGAAGTCTGTTTCTTTAGATGACCAATGGATAAACCCAGGCAAGAAGAGTAAATGGAAATAATTGGATGTCTCATTCCTTATGACTTAATCTTAGAACTCCTATGTGAATAGTACCATCTGAGTACAGATTGAAGCTAAGCTGGTTGAAGATTCTGCAATTCAGGGTTTGCATACCTTTTTTTATTCTCCAGTTTATTTCTTAATATTTCGTAATGTATTAAATAATTTAAAAGATTTCCTATCACACCCTTAATATAAAAAAGAAAAACTCTAAAGGAATAAAATGGGGCAATATAGGCAGTGAAAGAATGACTATGAAAATTAAAATATTGTTGGGGTCATGGATTTAAAAGATGTATAAGTATTCCCCACCAAACTTCCCAGCTTTCTTTATTTTCCTATGACACTGAACTTTTTAATCATGTTGAAGATTTTATTTTTTTAATTTTAATCATGTTGAAGATTTTAGACCAAAACTTCTCTGTAATGATGCTGGGAAATATAAAAACTAAACATTTCCAGACGAGCCCACAGGCAATTCCAATACCCATGTATACAAATCTCATCTACTCTTTTTAAGAGTAGCTTTCCTCAATGGATGAATACAGTGACACAATTTAAGTAAATGTCTAAATTAACACCACTCTGGTTCACATAATATATCTTTTCAAAAAATCCTGAAAAGTTACTACAGGCACACTACCCACCAGGCTATCAGGTCTAGAAACCATATGTTCAACTAGACCATAGAAAACATTACTACAGGTAGAGCATATGCTTTGCAAAGCCATGGATTACCATCTGGGGCCCTGCTTCTTCCAGGAAGCTCCAGCTGGGTGACAGAATGGCATCTTTCCCTTTGGGCCATCAGAGAATCAAAAGAGTATGGGTCACTTAAGGCTCAGACAGACCATGTGATCACCATGCAGACACATGTTATAGGTAGACGTTATGAATGGGCCAAGCCTGATATTTCCTTCATGATGTGTTCTTTGGTGTCCTTCAAGCATTCCCATTGTCCCAATTATGCCCCCAATTAATTAATTAGCTGTCTAGACTTCGTGGGACAAACGCAGGTGACCAGGAGTCAGCAATAACAGCCTATCCCCTGGTACTTCAATGTCTAGACAGCTGAGCTGAACTGGAACACAAGAACACACAAGACAGAATTAGTGTGCAATCACTCAGGGTTTATTTACCTATTCCTAGTGGGTCCTAGGCTCCAGCAAAGGCCACCCGGAGATGCACACCAAAAGACGGACGACAAAGATGGAGACAGACAGGTGGCCACAGTTGGTTCAGGCTCGCACAACAGAGCAGTCAATCAGGGGCTTGTCTCACGGAGTGACATGGAGTCCTCCTCTCATCAGGCAGGAGATGTCCACTGAAGAAAATCTGTTGCTTATATAGCCGGTGGTAAACAACTTGTGTCTTATCAGTGTGGGCCAGACGGTGTGCCTTGTGCTAGGAGCAGGGTGTTTATGTTTTAAGGGCTTAGGGCATTCACATCAAGATAGTGGGGCATTCACCACATTTTGGAAGTTACAGAGTATTGGGGTCGTCACACAGCAAACATTTCACACATTAATCATTTCACACAATAATTATTTCCACACATTAGAGGGGTTTCCTTATGACCATAACATTATTATAAAACCCATTCTCCAACCCAGTTTGGAGATTGCTGGTCACTTTGACTTTACCTTTGTTTTTCAATGACACAATATTCAGGTCCCACAACTATTAGGAGTCCACTCTGTGCCTGCGCCTCATTTGACCTTATGGAAGGTAAACCTATTTCCTTCCTAACCTTCTTAAAAGAGGTTTAACGGAATCTGGAATTTTTCCTATTACAAAAATTCTTGGGTTTTTGTCAAAAGATATTTGAAATACCATATTGAAATTATGTACTCACATCCCTCACCACCACCTCCAAGTAACTGAATCACATAAATAAAACATTACATAGAAAGTGCTTTGCTACAATTTATGGGTGGTAAATTTAACAAGAGCTGGCTTCATTGTAGGAAAATTCAACTTATCTTTTCCTGATCCTTTTATTCTATACAGAAAAAGAAATTTATGTCAGTTTTTTAAAAAATCTATTACTGCTTCTCATAACTGAATCCATTATTTTTCTCCACGATCAATCAGGTAAAAACAAGAATAATACATTGCTTGGACAGAACCGTGAACATAAACATCTCCAAGAATCAAATGTAGAAAGTTAAATGGGTTTCAGGTGGTATTAAAACAAGAAAGGATCATCTTTATATATTTAAAAAATCAGATCTTACTAAAAAACGTATTCTTATTATTAGCTGCTACAAAAAGATAAGTTATATAGTATTTCATTGTTCACAATTAGACAGGATGACTTTAAATAATTGAACTTGTCCTATACATAGTCAACTGATTAAAAATATCAGTGGTTACCTTATTTTACAAATAATTTCTCTTCATAAAAGCATCAAGGGGATCTATAATAGTTAACTCCACATGACCCACTTTAGTTTCATAAAAATTTGAGTGAATATACACACACCTATTATATATATATATATATATATATATATATATATATATATAATCAGCTATATAAAGTTCTCAGGGAATTTTCTCTTTAATTAATAATATCCAGCATCTAATATTTTCAATTTTATTCAGATAAGCTAACCTCCCAACTTGTCTCCAGAAAAGATGACCACATTTCCAACCAACTGGCACTTAACATTCACATTAAGCCTATTATTGGTCCAGGGCTGGGCATATGACCCCAATTTGTCTGGACAGAAAAGGAATGCTTCTATGTAAGATGAAAATGCAGAGATAGCAGTTTCCCACTTTCTTACCAAATGAGAAGAGAACAGGGAGCTTCAGCTGCTACTGGCAGCCACCCGTGAGAATTCTGACAATGCTGGTGGCAGAGGGAAGAGTGGGAAAGGACTTGGGTTTTAGTTAAGATCATTGAACTGCAGCTAATGGCATTCTGCCTAGAGTCGTCCCTACCTCCTGTGTTCCAGTTAGAAAATTTACAAGTTTACTGATTCTTTAATCCACTTTGAATTGGTGTTTCTGTAACTGTTTGATGTGTTCTTCTTCCCTTTAAAAAAAAGTGACAGAATACACTTCTGTTTTCTCCTGGCTTGTTTTGTTCATATTAATCTTTACATTAGTAAATCTTTGAATATGCATTTGATTTTGCAACTACCTTTTAGAACTGTCCCAAACCACCTAATGGGGAACAAAATTTAATACACCCATTGCTTAAGAAGATAGTAATATTCTTACCAAAGTGAATGCACATTTAAGATGATTAAAAACCCTCTTGTCTTACCAGACAAAAATATAGTTTCATAACCAAGGTCAGATATTATTCAGAGCTTGACCTGTTTTGTAGTCAATTTTAAACTCTGGTCTATAGGTCAAAGGTAAGTGTTTGTTTGTTTTTAATTCTTCAGAAATTGTAGGCCATGGCAATCCTACGGCTCTCCTCTTGTTTTTCTAAACTATTTTGATACTTACTTCTCAGATATTCAGGCTATTAGATGTTTCTTGCATATTCCCACAGATAATAACTCATCAGCTTTGCAATCTGATTCTTAACATTAAGAGATTAAAACTAATGTAGATGATTCTCAGATGACACATACTGAGGTATAGAAAATTCCATCATTTCCTTCTACAAAATGAGAGAAATTTTAATTCTTTTTCTCAACAGCTGCTTCATTTTTTATGCACAGGAAAAAATATGGGCAATTACTCCAAGTACAATCAAGTCATTTAACATGGCTTTACCATCATTGTAGTTGCAGGATATTTAAAAAGAGGAAAAAAACCTCAAAGCACGGGTCCTGCTGTGCAGCAAAGCAATCAAATTCCTTCATAATAACAGTCTGATGGGATTCAGCAATCTGACGAATAATGAATAACCACTTTAATCAGTAAACAGGAAAATGCTACAACAGTCACTGAGTAAAAATTGACTATCATTTGTTGATCCTGTTGATCGGCATTTCAAACAATAAATAGAAATGTAAGTATCTTTTAAAAAGAAAAATAACTTCGTTTAGTGTGTTTGATTTTTTTCAGGCAGTGAGAAAATGATAGGCCATCTTAGACTGTCCTGTAGTGTTGTCCAGTCAATAAAATGTGCAAGTAATTTTTTTTTTGTATAATACATGGCCAAATTGACCTTTCACTTGAGTATGTCATGATAAACTCATTTTGCAGCTGGTTAATAAGGTTGTATTTCTGGACTGATTGTTGAACTTCATTTCTACTTCATTATTTGATTCTCTTCTTTACTGTTCATCTTACAAAGCTATTTGTATTTGAATATCAGGAGCCTTCTTCAAAATAGTCCTCAAGTTTCAAATACAGTTCCTCAAATGTTGGCCGGTTCCTAGGCTCTGCATCCCAGCACTCCAACATGATCATGTATAATGACAGTGGACAGTTAGATGGTTGAGGGAGTCTATAGTTATGAAGCAACCTCTGGATTACCTGAGCACCTGTCATTCCTAAAAATGTAGAATGAAATCAACAACAAAAATAAAACAAGTTAAAGATAAGATTATTAAGTTAAGGGACACTTACACTCTCTAGCTTAAAAAGCAAATTGATTTCCTTGGTGGTGAAGATATGAGGTCTACCATCCCCTTCCCAGGCTGCAGAGGTTAAACTAATTCCTGTGGCAAGTAATGTCTATAAGACTGCAATTCAAGAGCAAAGGAGAAGGAGGCAATAAACCACATCATTAATGCAAATCATCACATCAGATTTTACCTCTTATGCTCCCAAAGACAGGTGATGTGGTCATCCTCACCACTCTGCCCTCTAAGTCTGGGTGAAGCTCTTAAAGTCACAGCTAAGTAAGGGATCTGCAGCAGAAAGGCCTACTTCAGAATTAATTACTCACCACTATAAGGTGTTTGGCCATAAGTAATGATTTCAAAAAGAAGGATTCCGAATGACCACACATCGGACTTAATGCTGAACCTATTACGAATGGCTTCAGGTGCAGTCCACTTCACTGGCAGCTTCATATCATGTGTAGCTTCATAAATGTCTTCATTATCTACCTGTTAATGCATTAAGAAATCAAGCTAAGTTAAAGTGATGTATATTTTTGCCAGCCTCATTCATCTATAACCTGCTTCGCATTAAAATTTAGAGGGAAAAGATTCAAAATGAGCATAGTAGCAAATTCCAAAGCTGAGATACAAGTCTAAAAAAAATCTGTAAGAAGTTATTAATAAAATAATACTTGAAACCCTACTGTGTGCTAAAAATAGTACTGAAAGCATTCTACTGCATATGGGAGAATTTGTGTGTGGTAATACTGGCTTTACATCTTGTCTTTAGCAAATTCTTTTTAAAAAATTAAAGCAAAGGCTGTCTGTTTATTATTTACTGCTGGCATTAAAGGGCAATTGACTTTGATAATTACCATATAACCACGTTCTCTAACACTGAAAAGTGGGATCCAAATGAATTAAATTAATATATCAACTCACTGGGATTCTAATTAATTTACAAAAAGAAATGATGAATTCATGAAGATCAAAAAAGAATCATTTATTTATAATGTTTCATGCCCTACACCCATAATTTTAGGGTACAATGTAGAAATAAAAAATTAAATTTAGAGAAAATCACCTAGCCTGGTTGGCATAATTCAATGGTTGAGCATCGACCTATGAACCAGTAGGTCACGGTTCAATTCCTGGTCAGGGC